TAGAGAAGCAGAGCGCCTCACTATAGTCTGTAACCTATAGGCGGTCATGTGAAATCAGGAAGGCTATATTAGATCAAGAATAAGGTGCACATGCAGCAGGATTACCTGCTGTACATTTTGTCCAGATTTGAGGAATGCAGTAAAAGACTTGATCCGAGGACATCAAAGTCATGAGCTCGTATTTGTTTTAAATGTAGGAGGTTATATTAAGTATGACAATATTCTCTTGACAAAAAAAGCCCACCACCTGCACAGGTCAAAGGTCACAGTAATAGGTCATCACTCCTTTAAAGCGTCTGGTTTGAGTGTATTTACTGTAGATAAATTTATGAAACAGCGCTTCAGGAGAACTATCAGAAGAAGTATGATAATAGATTTGTATATACGTTTCCCATAAGTTAGGGGGATTTACAAAAGACCACATTTCAACTAAAAGACATGGTCAAGCATTTGGAGCCTTTTTGTCCCTCTGTGGGTCAAGCCACAAAACCACTGGATCCTACATTTCCCATAATAGCTTGTAACACACGTTGAGACCGATGGAGCTACTTGGAGACTGTCTAACAGTGGTGGAAAGTAACTAAGTACATTAACTCAAGTACTGTACACAGTTATTGGTACTTGTACTTTACTTGATTAATTCTATTGTATTTTACTTCATACTTTTACTCCCCTACTTTTCTTTACAGCACTATATTTATCGGATACATTCAGTTATTTTACAGATTCAGATTTTTAATACAAAACATTATCAGCACAGCACAATATAAAGTAAATAAAATGAGCTCCACCTTTTACTAGCTGCACCATTAAAGTTATGAACACATCAATGCATCAGTTATTATGATAGAATAATATAATCTGAAATGGGCCACACTGTAAAAAGGAGATACTTTTACTTTAGGTACTTAAAGTATATTTGGTGCTAGTACTGTTGTACTTTTTTACTTTACTTTTAAAATTTCAAATGCATGACTTTTACTTACACACTTTGCTACTTTTGGTACTTTTACTAAAGTAAATGATCCGACTACTTCTTCCACCACTGCTTTCTAAAAGTGAAAGATGGTGACATTCTGAGGATTAAACTGATATTTGTGTGTAAAATTGGTGTACTGCCCTTTTAAAACTTTCATACCTGTGATATAGAAATGTGTTGAGTGAGTGTGCGCTGCTTTTGGTGTGAATCAGCCTGCTGAATCATGTCAGCAGTTAAGAAAACAATACTCCAGCCAAAACCTTTATTATGTAATGATGTCCGGTAGCGCCGTTTGCCAAGGGATCGCTTTTCTTTTGCCAGCTGAAAATAAATTAAAAATGAGGGTTTGCTGCTGTGAACTAAGACTGAGACGTGTGGCTGAAGCTTTTGTTTTGTGTGTGTGCTGGTGTCATTCAGTCATAAGGTGCTTGAGCAGGTCACAAGGTCAAACAGCCATCTTGTTTAAGTCCTCTTGAGCATCCGCCTCCTGCAGACGCACTTCTCCTCACTGCCCTCATACTGTTAAGAAATACATGATTTATAGTTCCTCTCCTTATTAGATTATGAATGATAGGCTTGATAAGGATAAGTGGTCCATAACGTCATCTATAAAGTATTATTACATTAAAAAATTCAGTGTGCAAGTGAAGAAGAAGTGGGCTGAATACGTATGTTTTATAACACATTGGTCTCAGTTCATCATCATTGATTTTTACCCTCTCCAGTGGTTAGGCTGCTAAACCCTGAGGTGTTTCCCAAACATGTAGCAGCAGGTTATTATTTTACTCCCACACTACCTACAAGTATGACACAAAACTTAATGAATACTGTTTCATCAAAGTTGTTGATATTTAGGTTTGAATCTCCTCATGGATTGAGGGAGAGAAAAAAAACTGTTAGAAATGAATGATTAAGCTCTTTTTGCTCTGGCACAGAAAAAAAAGTTCTAGGACAGATTTTGTGTTCGTCCTTTAATTCTCCGTAATCCCACCGAGACGCCTTAAGAATCTGAATACTTGTACAGTCTGTGTTACTGGGATTGTTCATTCTCTGTGGCCAAGAGTTTTCTTGAAAGCTGACTGAAACATCAAAGGAGCGCCAGCGTCCTATAGTGTAAAGAGAGAAGGTCAAATCTTTGAGTGTGTCTTTGGCCTCAGGAGCATTTTACAGCATACACTTCACACACACACACTCATTCAAGAGAAAAGAAAACCATTAAGCTGTAAACTGAAGATGTACTCTCTCCTTCCGAACAGCATCTGTGCCCATTCTTTATGTTGTTAACCATGAGTCCCTTGAGCCTTCTGAGGGATCACGTTAAAGACAGCAAGACTCTTCATTCTTTTACTCCCTGCAATTTAAAAAAAGGTTTGTTTTTTATTTCAAATAATATTAATATTAATAAAATTAGACCCTCCAGGATTTCACATGCTTTTTTGGGATTGTTGCGGCCTAAAATGCTTGGTTTTTATGCATTTTTTTTGCTATGAAATTGAACGAAAGCAAAGGCAACTTGTTCCATTAACAATAAAATTGCTAGTAGTTTGGTGAGATATGGCTCAACATTTTGTATGGGGGGCTGCTATGATTGGTGAAACTTGCAGGAAACTACTATAATTGGTCAAATTTGTGGAGAATTTGCAGTGATTGGACACAATTGCAAAGTTGTGCAAAATTCAGAGGGACTGGTTGAATTTGAATTTTAGTCTGCATGCTCTTTTTTGGCACAACATTGTTGTTTTGGACGTTTTTAAACATATCTCAATGTAGCTGCACTTTATTCAGTGATTAAATGACCCTTTTTCTCTTATCTATATGCGCATCTTTAAGGTTGAATGCAATTGACTTTTTATCCCAGGTTAACCCAGGTTTTCCATTGAAGGCAAAACCATATATATGTGACAACATCACAGATAAACAATAATGTTAATCTGCTTGTTCCAACACTTCATTGAAGCTAAATGATT